CCGCCGCACGTGCCCGGCAGCTTCCCGCTGGCTTCCGCGTTCTCGCAGTATGCCGCCGGCGGCGGCGCCGCGCCGGACGCGGCCGCGGCGGCCGCGGTCCAGGCGCACGCGCGCGCGCAGGCGCAGGCGCTCGCGCACGTGCAGGCGCTGGCGCAGCTCCACCACCCGCACCCGCCGTTCCCGATGGCGCCGCCGCCGCTGCAGCCGCCGCTGCCGATGCCGCTGCCGATGCCGCTGCCGCACCACGGGCAGCCGCAGCACCACCGGCGGCGGCGGCCGTCGCTGTCCGACCTGCAGTGCACCGGGAGCCTCGACAGCCTCGCCGCCGCCGCGGCCGCGGCGTCAGCGGAGGAGGCGCACCGGCGGGAGGGGATCGAGCGCTCCGGCCAGGGCGCCGCGTGACGCCGCGTGACGTCATCGCCCGCGTCCTTCCGCACCCGCCCCTTCCCTCATGGTCGCTGCCTGCGAGTCAAGCAGCTAGTCGAGTCTTCAGGGCGTGGCAGCTGCTCGAACTGGGAGCCCGACGCGACGCGTGTTTTGAAATTTGTTCAACGCCACGCCGCCGGCGGCTCTGCGGCGGTCTGATGCGCCTGCAAGTGCGCCGCAATCTGATGCGCCGCAGCGGCGTCTCGCCACCAAATATTTTGCAATTGCGGCCCCGGCCAGTACATGGTGCACAGGCCGCGCGTGAGACGCGCGGCGTTCCGTAGTTGTTCATCTGAGATCGCGAGACTGCGAGCCTGCGAGATCGCGAGATCGCAAGATCTTGCCTCTGACCTGCCTGCCAGCGGGGTCCGCGCGCGCGAGAGCCGCCCGGCTGGGGCGCCGAGCGCCCGAGGAGCGCCGCTGCTTGCCGTTGGCGTGCCGTCGCGGGCGACGTGGGCGGCAGATGAAGGGGTGACCACGGCCCGCGTTTCCGCACGCTCTTGCGCGCGCGCGCTCGCTGCCTCCGCTCCGCGCCAATCCAGCCTGCTCAAATATCCGGGGTCCCCCAGGCCCCGCGCACGACGCCATTGCCTAGTGTGCTTGAGCGCACGGTCAAGCACTTGCGAGGGCCGCCGCCCTGCCCAACTCCCATGCCTGCCCCCTTGCACCGCCGCGGCAGGGCGCGCCGAGCGCCCTGGGCGCGAGCGGTTAAACGAGGGCAGCAGCAGGGGGGGGCGGAGGGGGCCTTTGTTGGTACGCCGGTGCGCGCGCGCCGCCTCTCAGGGCGAGCGACGCGCCCCTAAAACAGCGGATCAGCGCTCGCCGATCCAGGGATCCTGGGCGCCGCGGGTCTGATCTGATCATATGTGATCAGATCAGATCAGATCATGGGTGCCCCGGGACGGCTGCTGCTGTCGAGCGCGCCGTTTCTTATCAAACGAAAGCGGAGCGGGGGGGCGCGATCGTCGACGGCCGTCCCCTTTCGGTCGAGCTGCGGGCGTTTGAGCGCCAGCGCGCCCGCGGCCGCGAGAGCCGCGCCACACCGCGCCACGCCGTGCCGCGCCCGGCCGCGGCACGGCTCGGGCACCAGTTGTGAGGGCGCGCCCGGCGCGCGCGGCAGCCTCCACCGGGCCAGCCTCGGCCGCCCTGAGCCGCCCGCCCGGCACCTGGCCCCCCGGCAGCTTCCCAACACCTTCCCGGCAGCCTCCCTTTTTGCTGTGTCGAGTCAGCGATGCGAGCACCAACCGTCACTGCCGCGCTCCCCTTTGCGTGCCGCACGGTTTTCCATCCCGATTTGAACTGATCCGAAGGTGTGTGTTATCCTCGGACTGCATTTTACCAGCTCTCAGCGTGCGTGCGCGTCTGCCGTGGACTGTTAACGTTTCCCGCCCTAGCTCCCTTGCAAGGGCTGGCCCCCTCGAACGCGCACACACATGGTGCCCGGTGACCGTAGTGCGTTTTAACCACATAACACCGCCACACACAAGCGCACGGCCCCTCCACACCCCACACGCACGAAGAACACGCCACGGGCCCTCCCTCAAGCCGCCGTCCGAGGGCGCGCGTGCTGCCAGGGAGGGCCGCCCCCGGGTGCACGCTGGCCCCAGCCAGCTGCGCCCTTTTCGGTGCGTTTTGGCCCCCGCCCCCTCGGCCGCCCCCGCGGCGCGGCGTTTTGCATGGGGGTAACGTCTGCCCGCCGTCCGCGCCGCGTCGGCGGCAGAATCGCGTCCGGTCACAAGGGCCAAGCAGGCATTGGCGTCAGAGTGCGGCCCCCTACAGCCGGCTGTCAGGGTGCATATTGCTGAGCCGGGGTCCCCACGGGCGGCTGACCCCAGACACGCGGCGTTTCGACTTTCTGAAACCCACATCTGAGCCCCCGCATCAGGATCGAAGGGCAGGCCTCCGTTTTTTTTTTTTCGACAGAGCGAGCGAGCCGTGAATCAACCACTCCACTATACATCAATCGAGCCCGCCCGGCCGCGGCGCCTTCCATCCGCGCGCCCCGCGCATCTTGTCGCTCGCGGCGCTGTGGGGGATCTCGCGCGACAGCTGTAACGACGATCGCCGTCGCTCCCGCCTGTCGCTGCTTCAAATAACGTGGGCGTTGCAGGGGTGCCCAAGAACAGCCGCCGTCACGGCAGCGGAGCGGCGCGAGCCACTCAAGGTGGTCGAGGAGGTCAAGATCGAAATGTGACGGCGGGGCCTGCGTATGCTCAGGGCGTTTTCAGCGGCGGTGCGCGTGGTGCCTGGTTGAGTGCTGCGGCCGGGTGCGCGTGCGCGTGCGCGACGTCGCGGGAGGCGGGCGGGCACCCCGTGAAATAGTCTGCGAAGCAGGTGTCCGACATGCACGCAGAAAATCTTTGTGTTTAGCATTCGACGGCGCTCCTGATCTCTGTGGGGTCACTATCGAAGCTCAGCGTGCAACTAAGTCAGTGGCCGGGAGCAGAGTGCCCACGCTTCCGCGTGCAACCGAGCACCCAGACGTGTTTAAGTAAACATCAGATCAGCAATGCAGATGCAACGCGTGCAGTCGGGGGCCCGTTGCAAGGTGAGACAACGCGCCGCGCCTGCTGAGGGTGTGTGGGTTGCTGCGGTGCGCGACCGCTCAGATTTGACGACGAGCCTTCGCATGTTTGCTTTGCATGGCTCCATATCCAGCAGTAGATTCTGCATCTTCCCTGCCGCGCAGGCGCCCGGCAAGCAGCCGTTCAGCGGTTGCGGCAGGCGGCCGCGCGCTGCCCCTGCCCGCGCAGCCAGCACTGAGAGGTGGGTGGGTGGTGCCCCCAGCCGCCCGGCAGCTGCCCGGGCGATGTCGAATCCGTGCCGAACGCGGACAGACTTTGCAGCTGGCTGCACACAGGGGGTGGCCCAGTCGATGCGCTTGCACACAGCGCGCACCGTGCCCGCACGGCCCGCCTCGCTGTCTGCCGGCCCCCCCAGCCTCTTCTTATTTTGCGCTTCCCCGCAGCGCCGTGCCGGCGCGGCCGGCGAGCCCTTTGATCATGGGGGTGGTCGAGGCCCTCTTCAAATGGAAGCCCCTCTTCAACATGGCGGCCGGCAAGGCGCGCAGGTGCGCCGTGACGTGACGGCGGCACCCCTGCTGGAAGCGGCATGCATCGCGATCCGGTCTCACGAGTGCAACGCGATGGATGCGGTCGAACACTACTCCTGTGTCGTCTGCTCACAATCCCGCCCCCGCCCC